AGGATTTCATCCTTCGTCGCGGCTGCAGTTGCATCATCGCATCGCGCGCACTCTGACGCTGCGACTCCGTATTGCCGGCTCCTACGCCTGCGCGGCGACCAGCAGTCTCCGCACCTCGCTCCTTTCCCTCAGGCGTGGCAGACTTTGTCGGACCAGACGTGCCCAGTCGAATGACAGGTGCGTTAAAATTTATATTCGGCATGTTCGGGGGCGGTTGGAAGTTGGGAGGAAAGCCCGCGGGACGACCTGGCTGCTGCGCATTCGCTTGCTGCACGCCTGGAGGAGGGCCGGTTCCAGGTGCAGACATGCCGGGTGGGGGGGCTAAAGGAAAATGTTAGACTTGATGTAAATAGATGAAAACGAAAATATATACTTACGCATGCCCGGAGGCGCACCTGGGTAGCCGCCAAACTCTGGAGGTCGGCCATAGAGATGAGGAGCTATGGAGAGAAAAAGTCAGCGACAGAAATCCCAGCGGACAGAAGGAAAGTGGAACTCACGTTGGTAAGGATTGTACATAGTGACGGACTCGATGTGAGAACCTGCCAGTCAAAGTTCGACTAGCGCAGTCGAGAAGGACGATAAACGGTGCAGAGAGAATTGAAAGAGAGATGGCCAAGTACTGTGCACGCGTGCAGCTAGTCGAGCTCAATAGAATCACCAGAGCAGTCGCACAAAAACACGGGTCCCAAATCCTTGTAGAAGACACAGTCCGATTACCAACCACCACGAAGCACGGTTAGAAGACGGGTGGGGTGAGGAGCTGTGGGAGCATGGAGGATGATGATAGATAGAACTGATCGGCGTGCTGAACGGATTTAATGCTCTCCCAGAACGGAAGTGGTCCGTGCGCTATCTTGGCAACTGAAGTATATCTTCTCGACTTCAATATAAGATTTTGCCTTTTTAAAACGTTTTTAATTTTTTCTTCTGGGTATCTGTGGTAGATTTTACGTCAGGCCCTAGGATTAAAAATCTGCCTGTAGGTTTTGGATGCCCAAAACCCAGTCATGGACGTTTTTTGGTAAAACGAGTTTCGACGAGGTCTAAATACGACTCACTTCCTTCTGCCTAGAGTCCAGTAAAGTGGGAATATGTCATTGATAATGAAGAAATTGCATCTCCCGCTTAAATCCAATAAGGTCCACGATCCAAAATTGGTTCTAATTCTCTCTTATTATTATTGTCAATAAAATCTCTGAGCTGAAGAGAACGAAAGCCCTCAGTGCCGAAGTCCCCCAAAGCATCGCAAAAGTCAAAGGAGTAAGATGTCAAATGTGTCAACACGACACACCTCGTCTCAGGCTGGATACCCTGTGGGAGGAGGTGGTTCATGAGCGAGACATCGCCCTGTTGCGGGAGGATGAGGTAACTGATGAGGCCCTTAAGAAACATCAAATCCAGCGTATCCAGTGTGACTTTGAGAGACTTGACGATGAACGTGCGAACCTGAGTCTAAAACCGCCTATTCTTTTTCATCCACCCCCCGCTGAAGTACTTGAACGCCATCCCGTGGACGTGGAGGCGATCGGTAATGCCCGAGAACAAGAAGAACACATGCAATTTCGAGACTACAACCCCCCTACAGACCCTGAAGAGTTTGATCGTGGTTATTGGACCCCTGTGCACTGTGCAAGAGAGGTCTCTCAGTACCTTAAGGCTCTGGTCTTTGGTTTTCCAAGGATTGATGTACCACAAACCCTTGTTGAAAAGTGCAAGATGACTTCAGTCAGGTTAGTATCCTTATATCCCCTTTCCCCTTCTCCTGCGACAATAGTATCTAACAACATTTATATAGCCTCCCGAACCCTCTTCTGTCCGTGATTAGAGGATTGGATGGCTATATTCCCGAGCACCACAAGCAGTACTGGGCCACTACACTGGTGTTAGAATATGAGATGGAGAATGACATGCTCGTTCACCCTCATGTTATTCTTATGACAGTGCAATCTTGCAATGGCAAAGATGGTTCCATGTTACTTGGAGTGCTAGCCCCGATCATCGCAGCAATGCGAAATCGTGCCAACCAACCCAAGGTCGATGAGGACGGAGAAGAGCTTCTCCCCCGACAACTGGAATTCGAGAAAGAAGAGAGATTTCCAGTAGGTACTCTACCCAGTCTCTTTACATCCACAGCTAACTTGACCATCCTGCTAGGTCTTAATGGTCTCTCTCTTGGGCCCTCAGCATGGACGGCTGTTCTACGTTTGTATGGATGGTGGAAACTTGATGATCAGACAATCGGATCTTTTTTTAGTTTTGAAAGAAAGGACAGCGCGCCCTGGGACTTATTCTTGCGAGTGATGCTGAGCCGTCCGCTGAAGGAATAAATGTCACCAGAGTTGCCTTATAGACCCAAGACGTATAAAAGCGGGTCAGAAGATGCAGTGTTTGTCAAGAAATCAAGTTTGACTTGCTTCCATTTGTGTCTGCAGCAGCTTTAGCCGCTAGTTGCCCATTACCATCCACTGATCATTATATTCTCACGCCTCCTTAGAATGGGAAGGGCCCATTGTTTATCTATGTATCTTATGGGTGAGGCAGCTATAGTAAAGCAATTGAACAAGGACTATGCATCTGCCCACCCTTACTGTTATAGCTACGAGTAAGAGAATCGAATTTCCCGTATTTGACATGAAAATGAGAGTTCGAGATGAGTCTCATCATTATCGTTCCTTGGACTTGGTTTGTAATACTTACTAACCATTACTCAGCTCTTGATCCCTACCCTTCAGGCTAATTTCAGTCCATGGCTTCCATGCTTGTCGACGCAGACCAGAAAAAAAGGAAAGAAAAGAAGCATTACCGGATAAATAAATAATTAACCGCCCCTGGAATACAATCCAAATCACAGAACCTGGTACGGTGGAGAAATTCCGCCTGTGGAGCACAAACGTCTCTCTAGAATTGATCGAGACCGGAGAAGGCCCGGCAACGGACGGACTGCTTAGTCATTGTTATCCTGAACGACAGTGCTCCGGCCCCAGTGGCCGCTGCCCCACGGTGCCCCTCGGTGAGGGTTGGGGATGCCCTGACGACATTCATACAATACCCGACCGCCAATACCCGTATCCCCCGTCCTCGCTCTCTTCTCCATCCCTATCCTGATCGGAGTAAAATTACCCTCCGCTGAAATACTCTTCTCTGGTAAGCAATTGCATCCGTGTCCGTTTCAATCGCACCGCCCTCCCTCTGGTTTTGTTGCCAGCTGCATCTGCCCCGCACTGACGCAACGGCAATTCTTAAAGAAATTCATTCTTCCTTCTCGACTGCCACAATGCCCGGTTTCAAGCAGGCGACCGACCTCGATGCCTGGAAGGCCCTCCAGGAGCACCACAACACCGTGGGCCGCAACATTGTCCTGAAGGAATGCTTCGCCAAGGACCCCCAGCGCTTCGAGAAGTTCAGCCGCACGTTTGTCAACCCGGTCGACAACACGGAGATTCTCTTCGATTTCTCCAAGAACTTTATCACGGATGAGACTCTGGACCTCCTGGTTAAACTGGCCAAGGAGGCGAATGTGGAGGAGCTCCGCGATGCCATGTTCAAGGGCGAGCACATCAACTTTACCGAAAACCGCGCTGTCTACCACGTCGCTCTGCGGAACGTTAGCAATGAGCCCATGCAGGTGGACGGAAAGAGCGTCGTTGAGGGCGTCAACACGGTGCTCGAGCACATGAAGGTGTTCTCCGAGCAGGTGAGGAGCGGTGAGTGGAAGGGTTACACTGGCAAGCGGATAAAGACCATCATCAACATCGGTATCGGTGGCTCGGACCTGTAAGTTGTCATATTAATGCATTTCCGACAAATAGAGCTAATTGGTCGATTTAGGGGCCCTGTGATGGTCACGGAAGCCCTCAAGGCGTACGCCGACCGCAACCTGACCATGCACTTCGTCTCCAACATTGACGGAACCCACATCGCGGAAGCCCTGAAGGAGTCGGATCCCGAGACCACCCTCTTCCTGATCGCGTCCAAGACGTTCACCACCGCCGAGACTATTACGAATGCCAACACGGCCAAGAAGTGGTTCCTGGAGAAGGCCAAGGACGAGTCGGCCATTGCGAAGCACTTTGTTGCTCTGTCGACCAACGAGGCCGAGGTCACCAAGTTTGGAATCGACAAGAAGAACATGTTTGAGTTTGAATCCTGGGTCGGTGGTCGCTACTCCGTGTGGAGTGCCATCGGTCTCTCGGTGGCCCTCTACATCGGCTACGACAACTTCCACCAGTTCCTCGCCGGTGCCCACGCCATGGACAAGCACTTCCGCGAGGCCCCTCTGGAACAGAACATTCCTGTCATCGCCGGTCTGCTGAGTGTCTGGTACAGTGACTTCTTTGGAGCCCAGACTCGCCTGGTGTGTCCATTTGACCAGTACCTGCACCGCTTCCCGGCCTACCTCCAGCAGCTGTCCATGGAGAGCAACGGCAAAGCGATCACCCGCTCTGGCGATTATGTCAAGTACACTACTGGCCCGATCTTGTTTGGTGAGCCCGCCACCAACGCGCAGCACAGCTTCTTCCAGCTGCTCCACCAGGGAACGAAGCTCATTCCCGCCGACTTCATCCTAGCTGCCGAATCCCACAACCCGGTGGATGGTGGCAAGCACCAGCGCATGCTGGCGTCCAACTTCCTTGCCCAGTCGGAGGCCTTGATGATCGGTAAGACTCCGGAGCAAGTCAAGGCGGAAGGCGCGCCGGACGAGCTGGTCGCCCACAAGACCTTCCTTGGAAACCGGCCAACGACCTCGATCCTGGCCCAGAAGATCACTCCCGCAACCCTGGGTGCCCTCATTGCCTTCTACGAACACCTGACTTTCACCGAGGGCGCGGTGTGGAACATCAACTCGTTCGACCAGTGGGGAGTGGAGCTGGGCAAGGTCCTGGCCAAGAAGATCCAGAAGGAGCTCGAGACGCCGGGTGCTGGCGGCGACCACGATGCGTCCACCAGCGGCCTTATCTCGGCCTTCAAGAAGAAGGCCAACTTGGCGTAGGCCAAATCATTTCCTAACGAGTCAACAGATTCATTAAGTCATCACGGTTGATTTTTATTTAGACGTCGATAGTAGTATTATCTAATGAAAAACAATTCAACGTTCAAAAGAACTGCGTTTATCTTTCAATTATCTGTTAGAGGATTGATAAGGATAGACACGACCAGATAGAAACATGGCTTGTGAGGTTATCTGACATGTCGTCTAAGATGCCCTTGACCTTATTTCTCAATTGTAGTCTCTGATATTGTGATCATTGTTTTATTGAATGCTGATGCTTGATATCGCCGTATTCGGAGAGTGGGCAGACCGAGTCGTGTATCATTGGTCGGCTGGCCAGAGTGGACCAGGGGTTGTCCGGGGCCGCAATTGGACTAATTTCTCCGCAGAAACACTCTTAGTATTTTGTTATTTACGTCCGTCCCAAGTCAGAGATCTCGCCCAGCGAGGCTCATTGTTCTATTGTGGAGTCTCGAGGGCCGAAGCAAAGAATGCTGCTGCTGCTGCCACCGCCGCCGCGCGACGACGTCCAAAGATGATGTTTCTTCCTGCATCTTCCTGGTCATTGTTATTGCTGCTCGGCCATTTGGCAGTGGGGAAGAATCCCTCACGCGACGAGGGCGGATATCGGTATGGGCAGCCGGTGCCTGTCAGCTGTTTGAATCGGACGATGTGAGTTATCATCCCGTCTCCTCTGAGCTGGTCGCTGCTGTTTTCGAGTGGTGATCATCAATTTTTTTTCTCTTCTTATCGTTCGCGCTTATTGCTAACTGCTTTATTTGTCCGATAGAGAGTCTGGTGAACACGTATGCAATAACGACTACCACCGTTACTTGCAAGATCGCCATATTGTAGATCTTTTTGGCTGACCACTCTTCTTTTTCCCAGATTGAAGACAAGCTCGGGCGACTGCAATATATCCCCTTCCCAACCTGCAACGAAACTTCCCTCCCGCTCGCCCTGCACTATGGCGTCTCCGAGACCATCACCTGCACCATCGACGCCCTTCCGGACACACTCTACCACTTGTTCGAATACTACGTGCACTCAGATGCGCCGTTGACATGTCGTGTGCCCACCGGTCCGCTCAGTCCGTCTTCCACTCTTGATGCGGGAAGCAAACATGTTTCTAGCAGTTCAGCAGCGGGAAAGGAATACGACATTGTCGACATCAATAGCGATGGCAGTGCTGGTGACAGTGGCCCGCCATACACGCCTCTGACCATCGCCCTGCAGGGCACGCTTCAGCGCAGTCACCTGCATATCTGGACGGACATGAATGTGATTGTGCACCAGATCAGCTCTGTGGAGTCTCCGCGGAAGAAATCGAAGAGAGCAACAACCACGCCGGGATATGTCGTTGCGGGAACTGCGTATTCGGTGCCCGAACTCCACAGCCAAGACAGTAGCAGCAGCAACAGCAGAAAGGCGGCGGACGAGGATGCCGCTCTGATCGAAAACGCCCGGAATCCATGGACGGCCGGTCACGGATCGAAAGTCATCCGCGGCGAGCCGCTTACCTTCCGATTCCGAGTCAACTGGGTCGCTGGCGCGGACAGCCTAGGCTGGACGACCCCGGCCTCGTCTTCGTCCTCGTCCTCGTTTGCCGCGTTCTTCTCTAAACTGATCTTCTTCATCATGGCTGCTGGAATCGGCGCTCTCGCTGCGTCATACTGGGAGCGTCGTATACGACACGGCGGCAGCGGTGGATGGAAAGGAGAGGGCATCCTCGGCCGTCCCATGTACGGCGGAAGCAACCACTCCCGTCGCAACGGGAGCGGCAGCGGCGTCACGTACGGGAATAGCGGAAGGCTCAACGGTTACGGAGGGTTTTCGCAGGGGAATATCCCTGCTGCGAGTCCCTTTGGGGGAGGAGGTAGTAATGGCAGTAGTGTTGCAGTAGGAGCAGCAGGAGGAGGAGGATATGGAGGATTCGGAGCGGGATATGGCAAGAAAGATTGATTGAAATCAATGTCCTGTCGGCTCAAGTTCGTATATATGCCTTAATCTAATTATTGTGTATATATTGGATGTTGGATATGTTCCTTCCCTACGTAGTTGTACTTTGTATAAATACAATTCTTTGTTTAATTCGCATGCACACTTATGCTCTCCTTCTCTCTCCCTGTCTGCGTGGAAATAGTAAAAATCAAGCCCAAGTAGATACACGCGATACACGATGAGAAGAGGGAAGAAGGGAGAAGAAAAAAAAGTCCAATTCAATCTAATACATGATAATACATGAGCAAATGTATGCCTTTTTATTATATTATACATGACACACAACGCAAGACAAGCATCATCATCAGATCAGGTCAGGTCAAATCAGATCAGACTCCATCTATGCCATGCTATCCAGCCCAGCCTTGCTCAAGGAAAGATCTATTCTGACTCACTGCAGACTGCAGACTACCACCCCTGCGCCCTCATCCGCTGAACCTTGGCGACGGTCTGATCAAACGAGAACTTGAACAGCCTCCTCCAGCGCTCGCGCCGGATGTCCTTGCGGCGCTGGCCCCTCCGGACGTGGAACCGCTGGGCGTTGGCCTGGGCGCGCACGCGGTTGGCAGAGCAGTTGATGTGCAGGTTGCGGATGGCCGTCGCGACGTCGATGCCCCTGTCCGGCTCGACGTTGACCTGCCGTCCCAGCTCCGGCCCCAGCTTCAGCTCGACCCGCCGAATCGGCGACCGGTAGTTGTCCGTCTCTGCGGCCAGGCCGACGGCGCGGGACAGCCCTGCGGGATCGAACGGCTCGCGGCTGCTCGTCGGGGTCTCCTTGTTCTGCGAGTCCTGCATCGCCTTGGTCGTCTTGGCGACATCGCGCTTGCCGATCTCGAGTTTCTTGAAGATCTGGTCGAAGCTGGCCAGGCTGGCGTCTGGTTTTGAGGCGGTGGTGGCAGTAGTGTTTGGTTTAGACTTTGTGGGAGGAGAAGTTTGAGCGTTGTTGTTGGTGTTGTTCGTGGGCGTGTTGTTGTTGGTCGACGTCTGTTCGCTAGGAGATGAAGATGCCTCTGCAGGCTTCTCGCTCGGAGCGCCGCTCTGCGAAGAATAATGTCGGGTCGACTGGAGACGGGAAACCGGTCCACGGATGGGACTCGACAATTGAGGCACGGAAACACGAGTAGACGGTCGAGTGAACAGCAGAGAAGCGGAGGACGGTGTCGTACGGAGACACCGAGCCAGGGTGTGCGCCGCCATCGCGGGCCGACAGAACTCAATTAACTGCAGATACCTCGAATATGTTTCCTTCAGGTCATCCGCTAGATTTTTCTTCTCATTCGACTGAGATAACGTGCGTACAGACTTTGTAGGTCGTGGATGGCTTTTGCGGAGTTCGGACGGACCTTCGCATCGGGAAAGCTTCGGCGGTTGGAAATCTCTGCGTCACGTGAGAGTTGGGGTAGTAGGGCTGGGTCGGGCATGACTAGCAATTATTCATTAATTATGATCGCCCCTCCCAATTCCAGCCAGCAGAACTCGTCGAAACCTCCTTTTCGGTTCTGAGACAGTATTTCAGGTTTGAAGGTTTATTCTCGTTTGGCTGCTGCTCGAAAGACAATCTCCTTTCAAGAGCAATTGAATTGAATTTGACGCTGCCCGCCGCCCATCATCATGTCCTCCATCACTATCGCAACGCTTCCCCGCATGAGTCGAGACGTCTTGTCCTCGCTGCTGTTGTCGACCAGTGCTTCGAACAAACTGGCCATCATCGACGTTCGAGATTCCGGTAAGGAGCTCTTTCTATCAGAACTTTTTTTTTCTTTTTGGGGAGGGGCAATTCATCTCTAACGTGCATTTTTGATTTTTTTTTTAGATCACGTCGGCGGCCACATCTATTCCTCGACATGGGTCCCCAGCTCCACGCTCGACTACCGCATGCCCGAACTGGTGCGCACGCTCAAGGACAAGGAGAAGGTGGTGTTCCACTGCACCCTCAGCCAGCAGCGCGGTCCGTCGGCGGCCCTGCGGTACGCGCGCGAGCGAGAGCGCATGCTCGGCGCCGAAGAGAGCAAGAAGCAGGAGGTCTTCGTGCTCGAGGGCGGGTTCGTGCGGTGGCAGGAAAAGTACGGCAAAGATACCCGGTTGACGGAGGCGTATGAGGAAGATATATGGAGAGAGTACTGAGGAGCCTCCTTTTACTTTCATTTTTTTTTCGATCGGATCGGATCTGGCGTTGTTCTTACAGTGTTCGGACTGGAGGACCAGCAGCGCCGGGTAAGTGTCTTTTTTTATCACGATGATACATACCCTTGGTATATACTCCGTACATACATACCTACCACGCCAGCGGACGCCTGACTCGAAAATTTCGGCCTTTTCGACTATCGATAACCCACCCAATCGGAGAATGTCCTCTTCGGATGAAGAGATCTCGCTGCCTTTCCGGATTATAACAATGACTCGATGGTTATTCATACAGTACATACATACATACATACCAGACCATACCATACCCACAACGACGTCGGTCACCAAAAAAAAGGGGAAAAAAAACACATGGCTCTTTCATCATGCAAGATTCTTGTGATTCTTACGTGTTTGTCTCATGGTTACTCTGGTCGGACGGATATGGGGAACTTGGGATACGACGTTGGGATACGATAGATAGCTAGATACCCTTCGAAAAATAGAATCAAACAGGCTGATTGCATGATATGTTGTACATGTATATACTGTACACTATTATACATATTTATTTTTTAAAGGAATCCATTCTCCTTCCGGCAAGAGACATCTTCATGTTCATCCCTCGACACTCCCCCCAAACCCTACTGGCCTTCTCCGACCGCCGTTCTCAGGGATGATGGCCATGGCTTTATATATCTTACCCATACCATTAGGCCCCCTGTCAACAAGTCTCTTCCACCCGCTTTCCAGCGTCTTTCGCTTTTCCTCGTTTTTGGTCTCCTTGAGCAGTTGTTCCGCTCGCTCCGCAATCCCCATCGCGCGCAGGAAGTCGGCCTGTTCGACTGGTCCGTGGACCTCGACGCCTTCGCTCGCTTCGATAGCCGCCTCCGCGAGACTCGTGAAGTCTACGTCTGCGCTCACGTCGACTTGGCCTGGAAACGCGAACGGGGAGATCTTGGTATGTTGCCGGATCCCGCGCAGCGAGTTGACGGGGACGGTGGAGGCGGTGCCATAGTCCAGGATCAGAGCAGCCCCGGACGGCTTGGTTTTTCTTGTTGAACCAGACGGGCTGGCTGCTGGTGAGACAGGCTTCACTCCTGCGGCAGTAGTAGTAGCAGCAGCAGCAGCAGTACCTGCCCTCGTGCTCGTTCCCGTGCTCGTGTTAGCGCTGGGAGAGAACCCACCGATCCGACGAGCGAAGTCAGCGGCGTAGATGCGACTCTCGGGGCTGACCTCGATGATCGATCCCGGCTGCGACTTGAGCGCCTTGTACCGCGCCGATATCTCCGGTATGACGAGGGACGACGGCGTGGAGGCCTTGGCGAGAGACAGTTGAAACTCCGGCTCGTCCTTCTTGTTCTCCACTACTGCCTTCGGGTTCAGCGAGACCATCAGTTCCCGCCACTGCGGCGTCGTTTCTGAAGGCTTCTTCTGCAGCGGTTGATGTAAGGGCGCAGGACCGGTTGGGGTCATAATCTCTTGTTGAGGGTTGTTGGATGCTGGTGAGGGAGCGACCGATTGGAAGGCATGGATAGGCAGGGCATCAAAGAACTCGTGTGCGAATATAAACGGGGTTTTGTCGTCTATACATAGACAGTAAGAATTGCAGCTATTATTAGTCGAGCAGAAGCGAAAACTTACTATGAGGTAACAGTCGGATATCCTCCACCCATATTATCGGCACACCGAGATGCTTGCTGACGCTCTTGTGTCCGATGTCTGTCTCCTCCAGGGCCACATCTGCACCGCACAAGAGCTGCTTCTGTACCTCTCGGAGTGACGCACTGGCTTCGACGAGGTAGACGGCATCGATGCTGGAGGCGAAATTCTTGAACTTTCGAAACGTCTGTAATAACCAAATAAATTCGCAGGTTGGCAACCATGCACATACAACAGAGCAGCCGCAGCAGCACTCTTCGTATAGAGACCACTTACACGCAACATATCATCCATCAACGTCCCCTTCCCGGGCCCAACCTCGATCAACTCCACCCCGCTGCTCGGCCGCCCCTGCGCCATCCACTCCGCGACCGTCCAGATGCCGATGAGCTCGCCAAAAACCTGCGTGATCTCCGGCGAGGTGACGAAGTCGCCTTTCTTGCCGAAAACATCGCCGCCACGGCTTTCGCGCGTGCTCGTGTAGTATCCGCCATCGGGGTTGGTGAGGACTTGACGCATGAATGCGGCGATGGAGATGGGACCTGTTGTCTGTTCGACGACGATCAATCAGTCAGTAAGCAAGCAAGCAACTAAATAAATAATCTGCGAGACTCTCGTGCGCTCTGTTCGACATACCTTGATCGCCTCAGCTAACGTTTTCGCGAGCGGTGTCGACCATTCCCTCTTCTCTGATGTTGATGCTGGTGTTGACGTCGACAGACATCGCCGCCGAAAGCCCGATTGCGCTATTCGAGAAGAGGATAAAGATGAAGAAGACAGACGATAATTCCTGGCCAGTTGTATCACCGTCCGTTTCGCGCCATTGCTCATCATGTTGTTTTATTATTGCCCTCTTCCTGTGCGGCTATTATCTGCGGGATGGGGGAGCTAGGTATGTAGCTGCACTCTGAACAATTGCGCGATTGATAGCAATCAGCAATTAGCGGTGCATGTATTATGAAAACCTTCGAGTAAAAAAAAAAGTGTGTGTGAGTGAGAGAAAGAGAATACTGAAAATTAGGAAAGATGAGACGAGACCCTGTTCAATAATAATGACTGATTTGAATTGATTCTGTTTTCTACTGTACAGCAACAACTATTCTTTCTCCGCAACAGAGCAAAACTCCGCAACCTCCGCTCCGCATAAATCTGTTCACGTGATATCAATCCCAGTATAAATCGTATGCAATCCTGAGAATCTCTCAAGCCAAACATATCGCTGTATCAGGACTGATTCTGCCATTCCATGCAAGTCAAGAGAGAACACGAGTCGTAACATTTTTTGTCGTTTCAATTTTTTTTTCTATTTTGCTGTGTTTTCCAACCCTAGTACAGTACAGTACATACCTTAACACTAACCCAGTCTATCTTCCCAACAATTGTATTACGTGATAGTACACAAATCGAGGTGAGAAACCAGGGGAAAAAAAATCAGCCTGTGAATGTGTCGACAAGCCAATAAAGATATTCCTTATGGATACACATCAAGTAACTTTTGAGAATAAGAAACAACTGGTTTATCGGAAACGGCCTCTGCGGGAGCCCTGCGCAGGAGCATCAACCATCATCTCGTCGCTGTACAGACCAGTTTCCTGCTGTTCGCGTGCCCCTTTTCCTCTGGCAGGGCCGTTCTCTCTCCGGTTGTTGAATCGTGCATTGCCTCTGCCGTTTTTGTCAAACGGCTGGCCATTTTGCTCGTCGAAACCATAAGTGCCGTCCTGGATCTGAGGGTCCGCTCGGCGGTTCTCCCTGCGCTCGCGATCTGCTTGCTCCCTTAATCCATCGTATGGAGTCTGAGAATTCGATAAAGCGCGAGGACCTGTGGGAGGGTTGAAAGTGCCGGCGGTTTTCAAGCGCATTGAAAGAATTCTACCATCCGCCTGTCACCATGGTTAGCCATAGAAATAGAATAACCTGACTGGCATCCTGAGCAATGCCGTACCTTTTGATTGTGGAACTTGGCAACAACGTTCTCGGCGCCCGATCTCTCTGCACATGCTATTTCGGCCGTAACAATAGGATACTGCGAAGTAATCCGACAGCTTACGATTTCTCCAGCGACGGGTTCCAGAGCGGTCTGAATATCAGCAGCGGTGGTTCCTGGCGCAAAGTTGCTCCCCACCACAATAAAGGGCCCTGAGCTTGCCCCCTTGATGGTGATACCGACGTCGTTGTCGCGAATTTGTGCTTGTCCATTCTCCGGGTTGATCGCTTCTAGCAGGCGATCCTCACGTGCGCGGCGCGCGTTCGCAGAAGTCGAGCGCGAGGAGAGGTGGGAGCGTACAGCCGTGAGCGCTGGCTTGGACGAAGTCGATGCGAAACGCTGGTGGTAGAAAATATATAATGTTAGTTTTCTGAGCTCTCAAGACAGGGAGATCAAGCCACAGGGTGATTGTTACCTTAGCTACCCCAATCCTGCTCGCAAGGCTTCCTCCAGGGGCAGCAGCCTGCTTTCGGTTTCCCACACCAGACCCAGGAGCGCTGACTCTTCGGTTCTTGGTTAGAATTTCATTGGCAAGAGCCTCGTTTTTTCTCTTCTGGCGTTCTTTTCCACGAAGTCAATAGTTAGAAGAGCCCTGCTATTTGGATGCGGGGGTGGAGAGCACTTACCGGCTTGGATTATCGCATCAAAGGACACAGCTTCCTTGCCAGCCGCCATTACTGAGGAGGCTGCGCAGGGGGGTTCAGCTCACAAAGTGCAGTAACAATAACAGTTTCAACCCCAGATTGACTATGATAGAATCTTTTGACCAAGGAAAGTGCTTGTTTAAGGATGAAGAAAAATGCTGGGGGGTCTTTGACACGAGCTTTGCTGAGGTTTGCAGCTCGGCGAAGCTCATGTCGCGCTCTCACGTCGGAGATAAAGTGGGCCGCGCGCAGGTCGACATCATCAGCTCAAGTCACTGAAAGCAGTCACTCGTCCCAAACCAAAGAAAGATTTGCCAATCAAACTGACAGAACCAAGCATTCAGATGACAATAGTGTCTCATATTCTGTATTGTTCTATTGCTGCAGCGTCACTTGCACGACTACAGTATGCGAAGATTATTAGTCACTCCATTGGCTCTTTCAAACTTCTCAAGACTACTGACTAAATAAAGCTGTGCTACTTTCTATCAGGATCAGACGTGAAGTTGCTTGACGCGACAATGTAATCTTGTTGTGTTGTCAGTCACTGATGACTTTTCTCTTACTCTTTCGCCATCAAATGCTCAGAAGACGGCAGTCAGATACGTGAAGTAATTGAGACAATGACTATTTGCTTCTTCTAAACTGCAATCCACTTGCTGGAGATGCCATCTTTTATGACAAATCTAGCATCATCACCTTCACCTCTACTGTAAGAACATTAACTTCAGTTGTTGCACACTGTCATGTGCTTTTACAAAATTAAGTGAACATGCTGCATATGAGCAGGGTATATAGGTGGGAAGCCCGCCTGGAGAGCATAGCACTCCGTAGAAAGTCCTTGACATGGACCAGGTAATTTTCTCATCAAACCAGTCTGGCAAAGCGGAACCTGCAAGGCTTGTTTAATACAGCATTAGCACAAAAGTACGTCCATTTTAATCGACCAAAACCCTTGACCCTCGTATATAGTGGTATCTTCCAGTAAGTCCACAGAGGAGATTAATCATATACACAACCACCAAAGAAACCAATTTCCTTTCAAGACCGTAATGGCTAGAAACTGCACACAGCCCGGTCAACCAAGTCTCAGTGTGAACCCAGCCCCAGCCTCTCCAGCATCCCCGCCGGGAGCGCCACCAAAGACGCCAGCAAAATCCAGCCGCGGCGCTTCCTCGCCGTGTTTCGGGGCTTCTGGGGTTGCCCGTCGTCGCCGCCTCTCCATACCCGCTTTGGAGGGGAAGGTAGGGAACATCTCCTTCGCTTTTGGTCGCGGGTCTTCCCGGAAGTAAGGGTGCCGGAGGCACTCTGCGGCCGTGGGACGAGAAGCTGGATTCAATGCCAATAGGGAGGAGAGAAGCGTCAAGCCGGCGTTGGTGAGGTAGGGGAATTTGGAGCGAGGAAGCAATGGAGGACCAGAGCCAGAGGTTGTCGATGAGGTACTGGGTGGGAGACGGAGGGATTTGGCGTTGGGGAGAGAGCGGAAGGACGGCCATGTTTGCTGCGTTGGTGGACCGGTGACGGCGAATATCTGAAAAAAAAAATCAGTAAGAAATTCCAACAAGCATAAGTAGATGATGAAGTCATTTACCTTTGATAGTTGGTCAACTTCATTCTTCCCCTGGAACAACGGCTCGTTCGTGAGGAGCTCGCCGAAGATACAGCCAATACTCCACATATCGATTTCTGGCCCATACTTCTCCGCCCCGAGCAACAGCTCAGGGGATCGGTACCACAACGTCACGACGAGCTGTGTCAGCTTCGGCGGCGGGTCTCCGTAGTACCTGGCCATCCCGAAATCTGCGATCTTGATCTCTCCGCGATTGTTCATCAACAGGTTCGATGTCTTCAGATCGCGGTGCAGGATCCAGTGCGAATGCAGGAATTCGGTCGCAGAAAGAATCTGAAGGAGTAAGGTCTTGATCTCTGAAGGGAGGAACGGCTCGCGCATATCTTCCAGCAGCGTTTTCAAATCATGCTCGAGGAAGTCCATGACCAGATAGACCCTATAAATAGTACGCCGGCGCGGTGAGGAGCAAAATGCGCCCCCGGCCACATGGTTAATGATCTCCTGCATCCGAAACTTTTCAGGGGTTTCGGGGGAAACAGTCGAGAAACGGGGTACCAGGAGACTCACTCGTCCATATTGTTTCCCATCACAATTTCGCGCAGGTTAACGATGTTCGGGTGCCTCGCTCGCTGGAGGGTCTGGATCTCTCGCAGGCCGGTGACGGGGAACCCGTCGAGCGAGTTTTCGATCTTAAGTTTCTTGAGCGCGACGATTTCGCCCGTAACCACATCCTTGGCCCTCGAAACCAGTCCGTACGAGCCCTCTTCGATGTGGTTCAGCCTCTCGTAGTTGTCGACGTGCCGACAAGGTCCCAATTCGGGCGCTGGAAAGCGCAGCAGAGCTGCACGCTTGGCCTCAGCAACTTCAGCAGGCGTCCGCGATTCATCGGAGAGTCGACGACGCTTCGCCGGCCTCTCTGCATCACCATTGGCCGCGCGGCTGGCTTCCTGCTGTGCAGACGCTTGTTGCGCTTGAGCTTCTTCGAGCTTGCGCTGTTTCTCAGCCTTGGCGCGTTTCTTTTCCTCCTTTTCGCGTTTCCGCTGCGCAATGGCCGCCTCTTCTTCGGGGTCCTCTTCTGCCCATCTGGACTTGACTGGGGCGGACATCTTTTCGCGTCGAGAGACTGAAAGCGATCCTCAGGTCGGACGTGGATGGGAAGGGAGAGTGACAGCTATGCGGACGGAGAGATCTCCTCGGAACGGATCTATTATTTTGATGACGCTATCGGGAGGATGAGTTCAGTCTCCCGCTCGGAAGACGACATGGCTGGCCGCGCCGAGGCGTCCTCCGATTTCAAAGCAAACCCCACCTCTGGGGAGAAGAACATGGAATGTTCCCATCCTTCCTCCTTTCATTCAACAGGTGCGATAGTATACAGATCTGTACTATAGGTTGAATACTTTTGTCTCCAGTTACTGAGGATCTCCCGCCGCCATGATCGAGCCCTTTCAGGTCGGTTCTCCGAGTGTTCTTCCGCAGAATATCCCCGCATTATTACTAACATCAGAACAGACGACATTCGCGGTCCCGATGACCTGCGAGGACTGCGCCAAGGACATATCTGAGTCTATCCATAAACTCCCAGGTAATTTCCCTAACGCTTTTGCTATGCGAATCGCAGAGGGTTGACTCGAAGCTAGGGATCAACAAAGTTGAAGCAAGAGTAAAGGACCAGCTCGTGCTCGTCGAGGGGACGGCGGCTCCAAGCTCGATCGTAACCGCGATTCAAGAGACGGGGCGAGATGCAATTCTTCGGGGAAGTGGCACTTCAAACAGTGAGTCATTGGCAACGGATCATTGTGCTTGGCTCGGCCCAGGCTAATTACAGTGGCGCATGGGAATAGGTGCTGCAGTATGCATCCTCGAAACGCACTCAACCACTGTTCCCAACAAGATTCGCGGCCTGGCTCGCATGGTTCAAGTTTCTTCCAACATGACCCTCGTGGATCTGACGATCAACGGACTATCTCCAGGGCGCTATTGGGCCACCGTGCGAGAGACCGGAGATATCTCGGAGGGAGCTGCCTCGACCGGGGGCATCTGGGAGGCGCTGAAGAACAAAGTGTTTGGTCGACAGGAGCCACGAGGCGTGTTTGGGACGGTGGACGTCAATGAGAAGGGCAAGGGGAATGTCTTCCTCGACCAGCCTGTCGCCGTGTGGGAGATGATCGGCCGAAGCATGGTCGTCTCCAAGAGCAAGGAAGGTCCGTTCCGCAAGGATGACCCCGACACGATTGTCGGAGTTATCGCCCGCAGCGCCGGCGTGTGGGACAATGATAAGATGGTATGCTCGTGCTCGGGCAAGAATGTGTGGGAGGAGCGAAAGGAGCAGGTCAGCAAGGGCATGCTATGAAGGAAAAGGAAAAGAGCTGAAGCGGGTCAGACCGTGGACTGGCGCCGGCGCGGTAGGAGGCCTAGACGCAATCCTTCAGCATAGACGGCTGATTTCCAGCCGCCATTCGCGATACCCGGCAGCTTCATGAATCGTTTTTCTTAAGACGATGTACGGGCGATGATGTCTTTGAATGCTACTGTATCTGATTAGCATCTATAGAGGGAAGGGGATAGGGGTAGTTGTGGTTATGTTCTGGGCATCTGGTCTGCAAAACGAGATTTGATGTCAATTTCGAGTACCCCTGTTACAGATATTATGCTTAAATTCTTATATCCAGCACGCTACACGGAGTACTCTGTAAGGAGTACTCGGGTAAACGCTCGATCTAACCTAAGCCCTGTTTTCATTAAGCAATTACTGGCTGAAAAGCAGTTTGACTAGAGTGTAGGACACAGAGAAACAGACGATCGACAATGTATTGAAGCAATAGGGCTCTCGGCAGTGCCACCGATATTGGCGAGCGTTTTGCCCTTCGTGCTTGGGGCGGTCAATTATACTGGTCAAAGCAGCGCAGTAGATCAGCACGTGGTCGCTTGGATAATTATTTTTTTTTGGCTGCTTAATATCCCCATACCTCTGACAATGATGATACCTAGTCTCCCAGTGGGAGGCTGAAAGTGCAGAGCGTTGGGGATCACTCTCAAACGACGAGGGGTTCAGAAGCGCCGTGGCTGGGGCTCCGTTTCTTGGTCCGGTTACAGATTTGTCTATACTCGTACTGCTCGTACTCGATCCCGAGTCAGCGTTCACCGTAACTAGGCCTCTGCTCTCGACAGCTTCTGATTGAAATGATTCACATCAAAAGCCTAGCCGCATGTGAGAACGTGCGTGCTGAAGATATACTAGTCTCGCGATACGGTGTGATGACGGCGTTTTAGTGAGTGCCGGCTGTGCGGGGAGCTCGCTGGAGAGACTGCCCATCGACGCCCGCAGGCCAACCACCGCCTGCAGCCTTGTTTCAACCGCCGCCAGCTCGCTTTAGTGTCCTTGGGCCTGTGTTCTCTCCTCGAATGACAGGCTCAGATTGCAGAATGATCCTGGTCGCAGCCCCTCAACATCTTCCTCCCCGGCGAAGACGAGAACGGAAGGCGCTACCAGGGTTGAGAGACCTGGTGGCATGATCATTCAGTCCACTAGCCAGATCGATGTCCGATCATGTCGGCATTCGGGCCTCATGGCCATGGTCGTCTACCAGATCTGCTCCTTGTCTCCACTTGGCAAGTCACAGATCCCTCCAACAGAGGTGACTGTGGAACGCTGGCGGTGATATCCAGTCAGAGGTCAGATCCTCTGCATGAGGTTGCGTCTTGGCTTGTTCCTGTTATTTTTGTATGGGCAGTACATATCCAGGGGTCCTGCGGCTGGCCAGCTAGATTTACAAAGTTGTCATCGGCGCTTCCTCCTCCTTCGACTCTGCTCTCGTTTGCGCGGCTTCTTTCCGTCCGTTCGCTCTTGTTGTTGAACTGGGCTGAGATCTCTCTCGTCGGCTGGCCCGCGACCTTTCATTCCTTTTGGGATTGTTGTTGGTTCTGGAAATAGAACAGACGTTCTCTTGCTTCGCTGGCTTACGATCCTTGTAAGGAGACACATCAGTGCTGCGGTGTACTACGTCGTTGTCCTCCAAGAAAATCAACTTTTAAGCCCAATAATACCGCACCGGCAGCGTATAACTTGTTCTCTTCGCGATCATCCTCGATATTCACACCTGCTGCGTCATTCCTGACTTGCTTTTATACTGTCATCCGCTAGACTCATGGCTTATTTTTATCCTGCATGAGGCCCCGCACTATTCGAGTCCCGCCTCCAACTAACTGCAGCATTACCGTCCATCACACGCCAATCAGCCCACCAGATCGCCTGCATTCTTATTATTTAGCCGCCTGGCTGGCGCAACGCTCCGGACAGTATATATCCTCTCGTTCCCGTCGGTCGTGAGCAGGTTGTGTGGAAATCCCGGCCAGGAAAGAGTATCCCAGCAGCGTACCGGTCGCCATGTCATTGAAACAGGTTCGTCAATCGCTGGGCATGGAAAATTATCACCATGCTAACCGTGAATAGGAAATCGAGACGTGGGTGCAGGCCCTCGCTCATTACGACAACAATGAGTTCGAGGAAGCGATCAAAGTCTTTGAAAATATTGCCGACACATCCAAAATCTTATTCAATATTGGCGTGATTTATGCGACATTGGGTGAACATGAGAAAGCGGTATGTGAAATTCGTCACTTTCGCGACGGCGGTCATGCTAATCAAGCGTACGTAGGTGGACTACTACCAACGTGCCATCAGCCTGGATAACTATCTCGCAGTGGCCTACTTCCAAGAGGGCGTGTCGAACTTTCTCCTGGGGGATTTTGAGGAGGCGCTGGCCAACTTCAACGACACATTACTCTATCTCAGAGGAAACACGTCCATCGACTATGAGCAGCTGGGGTTGAAATTCCGTCTATACTCCTGCGAGGTCCTCTTCAACCGCGGTCTCTGTTATATCTACCTCCAACAGATGGAGCCGGGCATGCAAGATCTAGAGTATTCTGCGAAAGAGAAAGTCACACCCGACCACGATGTGATTGACGAGGCCATCCGGGAGAGAGCAGAGGTATGTCAGCCGATTGGCGTCACCATCTTGACTCATACTGACATGCACTAGGGTTACACGGTTTTCTCAATTCCCGTTGGCGTGGTTTACCGGCCGAACGAGGCCAAAGTCAAGAATCTCAAGACCAAAGATTACCTTGGCAAAGCCCGGCTCGTGGCGGCGTCTGACCGAAACAACGCCTTTACCGGCTTCCAGGGATCTGAATTGAAGAAAGCAATGGCCCAAGAGGCTAAGGACGATCGGCCCGCCGAAAATATATCCTATGCAGCAACCAACCTAGTACAAAAGAATCTGACCAGTCGAAGTCGACAGCAATCTGAACCACCCATCGGCCGCAATACGTTTCCTCCGACACCACCGCCAGAGTCGGACAAGCCGATCAACATCGGCGGGAACGGTTCGGCTGGGAATAGTGGTGGTATGACACAGCGTGCAGCGTCCGTGCGATCTGGGAGGCCACCGCAGCTTGACCTCGACCGGCCCGGTGCAAGGACAAACGGTCGAACCGGTGGGGATATGCCTTCCATGGAACAATCGAGGATTGGGAGGACGAGGGCCGCGTCTGAGACTCGCGGACCACCTACGCGCCAGTATTCCAACGCGCGTGCCCGTGATGTGGGAAGACTGCGACAGTATCGGGAGCCGGGATCTAGACGGGGAATGAGCGACAGCGGGTTTGCCATCGTCAGCGAGGATGCCTATGCGGATGATGTGTACGACATGTATACCAGCCCTCGCTCCAACGGCACCGGCCGAGGGGTCCGTAATCAGCCGCGGTATATCGACGAGGAGAAAGAATACGTGAGCGACGCGTACGAGGACGACCCTGTAGAAGACGGGGAATTCGAGATGATGGTCGCACCGACGTCACGCGCACAGTCACGACGGGCAATGTCCCGCAGTCGCGAGATCCGCAAGTTCCGCGTCAAAGTGCACGCGCAGGACGACACGCGGTATATCATGATCGGGGCGGACATCGACTTTGGCGAGTTTGAGGGGCGAATCCGGGAGAAATTCGGCTTCCGGGGTCGGCTGCGGATCCGGATGCGCGACGAGGGCGATATGATCACCATGGCCGATCAGGATGACCTGGATTTGCTGTTGAGTTTGGCCAGAGATGCGGCCAGGAGGGAGCAGAATGACATGGGGAAGATGGAGGTATCTATCCCTTTCCCTAGCTATCTCTTTCCCCTGGAGCTCTATATTCTTGTGAATGAAAAACAAGCTAACGCAACTTGCAGATCTGGGTCGAAGAAAAATAAATATAGATCGACGTCGACTACTTTTTTTTTCTTCTAATACCCCGGTTTTGGTTGATTGGAATTTTTGCATCTGATTTGGACGAGCGTCGGAGTTGGGAAAGATGGGCGTGCATGCAACCATTAATTGATTGATGTTGGTGCCTGACCCATACGGCATTCAGGCAGCTGCCAGGTCTGACCAATCAGCTGTCAGTTACCACGTGACCGCCAAACCGGCCACGCAGATTTAGAGCCGACCTCAACGCCGGCTCCTAGTCAGTTCTTCTTTTTCTTCCCCAGAGGGAGCAATAATATATTGATCTTCTATGCCTAGATAGACTTCATCTATTTCCCCACTGAGCTCTCGGCAGCCTTACGCCGAGAGGTTATGAGCCCGGCAGCACTGGCAGACGACTGATAACGACGTTGTCTGACTTACAATTCGAATCGATCGACCTGACTGGCAAGGTGCCGGGGTCTCGC